GGTTAAGGGGGCCAACAATCTAAGGGTTTGCGACGCCTCTGTGTTTCCCGTTATACCCAACGCTAATACCGCCGCCGCCTCTATAACTGTGGGCTATAAATGCGCTCAATTTATTAAGAATTTTTATAAATTGACCTAGGCAACATGATTATTGTAATACTTAAATTATAATTATAAATTAAATATATCAAGTTTAAGTGAACATGAATGAATTTTATTTTTAATTAGTTTAAACAATAACTCCCTGTCCATCGCATTTCTGGACACACCGTTTCTCTACTGAATTGTATGCACCCGAAGGGTAGACAAAGTCTTTGACATCGATTGAGTCCACTATTAATAGTGTGTAAAGTTTGGTGGAGACGTACGACTGGCCCAACACTGATGAACATTTGCTCAGATACTGGTTGACAAGCCATGTGCTCCGTATGTATATGTATTTGCCAGCTAATGGCCCACCAATCACCAGGGACAGTTCATCATTACCCAAATAGGCTAGAATACAATGCAAGTTTTACATTAAATTAATTATTATATGAGTTTGTTTTATAATTAATAAGTTAATTTAATTTTTGTTAGTTAATAAATAATTTTAATTTATTAGTTAAAGTAGTGGGTATTTAAAATAACTAAAGTAACTAAATTAATCGACAGTGTTATTTATATAGTTCAAATTTGTTACCTCCTTGTGGATAATTAGATGCTGTTAGCCTGAGCAAAGTATTTATCTGAATGGGCTCATCGTGACGATGCTCAATTAGATATCTTAACCCAATATTAGATTTGCTATCTAGAGCACAAACTTGGTCCTTTTCATACACACCCAGGTATGTGTAATTTATGCCGTCCTTTCCATAGCAGCCGTCGATTTTGGCCGTAAGTATAAAATTTTGATTAGTATTGCTGTCTATTATAAATAAAATGAATTGTAATTATTTTTTAATGACATTTATATATATTTATTAATTAATTGTAACTTTAAATACAAACCAGAAATTTGTGATGCGTTTGTATAATAAACAGCCAATAAATGAATTGTAATACAAAATATAATTTTATGCATTTTAATTAAATAGATGTTGTATTTATGAAAATGTTAACTAAAGTGTTTTTAAATGTAGAGTTTAGTGATGATGTTTCAACTAGATATTTTTAACAGTTTATAAAATGCAAAAATGTTGAAGATGCTTTTAAGAATACGTTGAACTTGGCATTAATTTCGAAAATGTGTTTACTTAAACTAATTTAACATGTTTTTTCGTTTTAAGTAATTACTTACCAATGTTTTATTGTCTTATATAAAATACTGTACATACTTTTAATTGGGTGATTTGTACAAAGTTTATTAACTATTATACATCAAGCACATCTCGTTTGTACATCAAACATAATGTGTTAATTATAATTATTAGGTACTTTTATATAATTAATAATTATTTTATTCTTAAAATTATATTATGGCAAATTTATTTAATTTAATATAGATAAATTAAAGCATAAATTTATTCAATATTAGTATAATTTATAATAAAAATTATTCTTTAATTATCCAAACATTTTAAATTTTATAATTGAATTTGTATAACACTAATTAATAACTAGACCAAATGTAAAGTACATGTAATTACTTATGTAAGTTTAATTCATGTCACAATGTATAAGTACATAGTGAAATTAATTAACAAATTAACCCTGTACCACAAAATTTGTACATTGTGTTATACAAAAATAGTTATGCAATTTATAATAAAAGGTTTTAGTCATAACTAAAAGTAGACATTTAATTAATTTACCACAAATTAAAACACAATGATTTTGCTTGAAATCATCGCAATAGTAGTGCCGGTGCTAATCGGCCAGTGCTTTGGCGGACCCATCAATATAGTGATAGATCCTAACAGTCATATATGGGTCACATCGGACTTGAATGCGGACAACTCGGGTCTGGAAGCGGTAGATATCCGGTCACTGCCTTCGACCACAACTACTACCGCAACGGATAGTACCGACCGTTTGGACCGAAGCCTACACTTTGAGCCGCACTCGGATTATAAGCCGTCCGACAAACGTAATCGCAATCCGTTTGAGGACTGGGCGTCGGGTGCGGTCGACGACAAGCAGTTTGAGCCGTGCGGGTCGTGTCCACCGCCCGACCAGTGTTTGACCGGTTTCCGGGAGACATTGAATACACTGCCCGACGATTATTATAATCAAAATGACGTTAAAATTGCATACGAATTGGATTTTGTGTTAAGATGTGCACAATGTATGCGATATAATGATGGTTATTGTTATGCCAATTGGGGCAAAATGATCAGGGATGGCACGAGCCTGGCTGATAAGTTGTCAAGTTAATTTTATTTTAATGATTGCTTTATATATTATTTGGTAAAATATGTATTTTATTATTGTTAACATGTGTTAAATAAATGTGACATAAATAAAAATACACAATTGTTAATCTATGTGAAGTAAATAAAATTATAATACAGTAGTTCAGGAATATAATTATAATAGAATTTAAAAATTATTTCACATTAACAATCATATCATGTTAGTCTTAATCGTATCGCCATGGTCACCTAACAATGAATGAGCAAACATTAGTAAACATTTCTTTGTGTAATAATTATACAATAAAAAGTGATATCTAATGTATATACAGTAGATTAAGATTAGATTAAGTCACATAAGAAATGAGTCACTTAACAATACTGGTAAACACAATGCATAATAAATAACACCTATTATTGTGACTTTGTTTAGAAATTAATTTAGTTTAATTATATTTTACTCTTACACTAATTTTGGTCACCAATTAAAATGTATTATACAAACAAGTTCAAAAAATACCCGCGATTAGTTATTCTTGTTTTAGTGATACTAGCTGTGATAATTATTATGCAACTTTTAAACACTAGCGACCCAGATGACAAATATAGCTGGACCAATATAAACGATACTGGATTACCGTGGATGACCAACATAACATGGTCGTACAACGAGGTGAACATTACAGAAAATCCACCTAGAATACTATGTCTGATTACAACATCGCCCAAAAATCACGCCACCAAAGCGGTGGCCATTAGGGACACGTGGGGCAAAAAATGTACCATGCTGCATTTTGTAAGCTCCGAGTTGGAAGCGGGCCTACCTGTGATTGCGACAAAGTGCAAAAAAGACAACCATGATTATGTGTGGTGCAAAAATACGCAAGGTCTCATCGAGGCTAATAGGATGTATAATGAAAGCTATGATTGGCTGCTGAAGGCCGACGATGACACGTATGTAGTGATGGAGAATTTGGTTCATTTTGTGGCCCATTATAACGCAAGTGATCCCATTTGGTTCGGTCAGCCCTTTAACGCTCCCCCCAAATATCACAAAGTTCAATATTTTACTGGAGGTAAGTTTTTTCAATGTGGTTATTTTGTGCGGTGTTAATGTTTTATTTTATGTTTTTTTTGCGCTAGGTCCCGGAATTGTAAGTTGACACTTTTACTTACTGACACTTTGTGTCCCATTAATGAATTATTAGTATAACTTTATTTGTAATGAATTATTTGATGTACAGTATATTAGTTGTAAAGGTGATTAGCATTAAATATTAAACCTTTTGTAAATTGTAATAAATTAAAATGAGTTAAATAAAACAATCTTAAAGTATCTGGCCCATGTTGCTTTTATAAAAAATAGTAATTCAAAAATATAAAAATTATTTTACATATTATTCTTAAAAGATATTCAGTGGGGAAGCGATTAAACGATTAATTAAATCATTTGAAATCCGACGCAAGTTCTGCGACGCCGACAAAGAGGAGGGTCCGGACGACGTCTACTTCTCGGTGTATGTCATATAATATCTCTCATTAAATATTTAATTATATAAATAACAATATATAATATTAACTGTAAGTTTTTACCTTATTTTCCCGATGTTAACTTATGACAGATGTCTTAGAGCGAGCGGTGTGTTGGCCGGCGATACAAGAGATAATACGGGTAAACCGAGGTTTTTTCAGTTTGCCCTTGGTGATATTATAAATCCACACACAGATGTATATAAAACTAACAAATGGTTAAGCTATTATGCTACTTACAAATATAACACGGTTAGTGTTTTTATTTAATATTTTCTAGAAGCTCTATTTGTGTTTTTAACAACATAAATATTATTATAATTAACTTTTATAATTTAACCAGGGTATGAACTGTTGCAGTTCAACAACAATATCTTTTCATTACGTCAAACCAGATTTCATGTATGTCTTAGAGTTTTTATTATATAAATTAAAAATAATAAAAATTTAGTAAATATTTTTATTTAGGTATAATTGTTATATAAGTTATATTTTAAATCTTTATTTTTAATTTAGATTTGTAAAATAGGTATGTTTCTACTTAAATTTTTGCGATGTTAAAATAATTATTTTATATTTAAATAAAATTAAGTATATTTTTAAATAAAAGTAATTAAAATGTATGTATGTTTATAAATATTACTAAAAAAAGATGAAGTAATACATTATTGGTATCAATTTTAAAATCTTTAAAAAATTTAGCGTGTGTTCAATTAACTAATTAATTTTGAAAGTTTTACATTCCTGGCCATATATCAGAGACACTGCCTAGCTAGTAAGTTATTAAGTTGATTAACATTGTTAGTTATAATGCTAGCTTTGCACATTTTGTTTGGTAAATACGATAATTTATAAATTATTAACCCCTAATTAATAAAATGTGTGTGGTGTTAATGTGAATAAATAATATTTGTTAATATATTTATTGTGAAAACGTCAAAATATAAAAGATTCATGATAATAATTAGAAAATTATTAATTTAATGATTTTAATAATTTTAATATTTGTTCATCTAACTGTAAACTTGTTTACTATATCAGGTAAATTAAATTTTTGCTGTTAATATTATTATCGTCGTAATAATAATTATAAATTTAGCCACGTTTACTCAGGGAATTATACGCATAGATACAACACAATGTGTCGGCGATCATGGTGGTCAGAATTATACAATTATAGCACATTACACAAATGACCAAGATTGTTCGCTGCAAAGTTTTAAGGTCGATTATGTATATCTGATAACAACACCTTCTGACCATGCTGCAAATTATGTTTACAAAATGATCTCGCTGGTCCGGACTAAATTTCCTCAAGGAGGTTTGCAAAATAATGCAATTTTATAATAAAATGCAATCTAATGAAAGTTATTTTTTAAAATAGCCATGATGAATTTCCAGAATCTGTACCAACTAGTGCAAAATGACCAAGATGCTCCGTTGGCCGGGCTATATATATTTGATAAAATTTTATGGCATCAATATGCATATCTAAACCGGTGCTCATCGGTGTTGGGCTATTCATTTGTGACCTTGGTTGATTTTGAGGCATATTTTATAGACAAAGTTACATTGAACGAGGTAGACTCGGCTGCCATCAATGCATATGATATATTTAAACAACACGCAATTACCACGTGTATTGGAAAGGGTTTTTTGGTGTAAACTAGTTACAAATTTTAACAACTAATTTGTAATAATATTTAAATATTTATTATTGTGCAACTTGAATTAAATAGTTTTAGTATATTTTAGTAAGTTTATAACATTGTACTTTGCTACCATTGATAATATAATCATTAAAAATGTTATTCTAACAATAAATATTATAAGTGTAACGATAAGACATGATAAAACAAATCAATATGACTAATTTCTCAGAAAATTATATAAATTGTTTATAAAATTTATAGTCTGCTAAATACTATACAGGATTTAATAATGACAATTTTTTGTCACTAACTGCAAAGATTGGTTCATGTTATATTTAATGTGCACATGAATATAATAAAACAATCCATTATATACAATGAACTTCTACTTTAGAATTTATTATACAGAATTTATCATAGAGTTGAGCGAGTACACATGGTTTATCGTGAATAGTACATCTAAACTACACTGTAAAATTGTTATTTACAGTAGTGCTGTGCAATAATCTCTCCCTGGGTCTTTGTTGTATGTGAATTAAAATAAAATATAATAAATAGTAGATCTGGAATAAATAGGATTTAGTGAATCATATGTTTGAAAAATTATTAACCTTATTAGTCATAAATTATTATAAAATTGTAGATTATTTAATATCCATGTGTGATAAGTATTACCTATTTTATAATTTTAGAGTAATGTGGTATTAGAAGTGTAACATTATTTTATGCATTAAATTATATAACAAAATTATATAACAAAATTATTATTAATTATTATTAATTAGATATTATTTATAATTATTAATTTTTAAATACCTAAAAATATATTATTATGATAAATATTTTATGTTATTATTTTAACATTTAACATATTACATCAGATAACATGTTTTAGATTAAATGCAATGTTCAGTTAGCACACCTCACATTGTAAAATAGTGATTTGCTATATTAATTCTGCTAGCATTAAGTTATGTAAATGTGTTGGTGTATGTTTTTAAATAAAATCATTAATTTATCATAATAGAATATAATGAGACATATTAAATGTGTAATTTAGTAATTTATAGTAATTTGTGTAATGTACACAGTTTTTCTAGCATTATATAACATCTAGTACATTTCATGGAGTACACCGAGTTAGAGTTGCACCAATTAAATGCAAAATATATAGTAATCCATAATTCTTATAATGATTAGATAAGTTGAGATTTCAAAATAATTTTATGACGATTGAATATAATTGCATAAACTATATTGCACTAAATATGAGTGCTCCAGGAACAATTGTTATAATAGACTAGCATTTAGCTATTTTATATACTGATAATAATATTATCTATTATTATAATAATAGCATGTAGATTAAAAGATAAGACACCTAGCAATTGATTTATTTCTTTATACACTTATATAAATAACATTAAACATAATATAATGAATTTTGTTTAGTAATGAATTATTTTAGTGTATTTTTATATTATTTTTTAAATCGTCTCATAAAATGTATTTTCAACACAAATTTACAAAATATTCAAGATTTTTAATTTTTACTTTTGTAATAATCGTAATAATTATTATCTTATTTAACATTAATATAACAAATCATTTATACAAACAAGCTATAACTCCAACCCCAATAGAACCAGATGGGTATAACTCAACAAATATGACTAAAACAGAACCATGGTTATCAAATATAACATGGTCAAACGACCAGATTAATATCACGATAAATCCACCAAGAATACTATGCCTGGTCACGACATCGCCGGAAAATATTAACACCAAAGCGGTGGCCGTTAAGGACACGTGGGGTAAAAAATGTACCATGCTACAATTTGTGAGTTCCGAGTCGCATAAAGAATTGCCCGTGATCACAACCAAGTGCAAAAAGGAGAACCATGATTATTTGTGGTGCAAGAATCGCAAGGGTATTATTGAAGCCCATTCTCGTTATGAAGACAATTATGATTGGCTGCTGAAGGCCGACGACGACACGTATGTAGTGATGGAGAATTTGGTCCATTTTGTGGCCCACTATAACTCAAGTGATCCCATTTGGTTCGGTCAGCCCTTTCGCACGCCCTGGAAAAATAACAAGATTGATTTCTTTACTGGAGGTAAAGTGTGCTAAAATTGTGTTATGTTGTTATTTAACGTGGTAGTAATGTTTTTGTTATGATTAATTTGTACACAGGTCCCGGAATTGTAAGTTTTGACAATTCTTTACAACCTTTTGTATTGCAAACAGAAATTACTATTTATTTATATATTTACATTTCATATTAGAAGTATTTTATAAATAATCTTACAGTAAACCTGTTGAGTACACTTACTGTATAATAATAATAATAATATTTAATTAATTAGTCAATGACTGAAATAACAAAAAATGTAATATATTTTGCAAATTATTTGCAAAGATATTCAGTGGGGAAGCGATTAAACGACTGATCAAATCATTTGAAATCCGGCGCAAAGACTGCGACGCCGACAAAGAGGAGGGTCCGGACGACGTCTACTTCTCGGTGTATGTGTGCAGTGCTATCACGACATGTGCTTTATATTAAATCGAATTAATTATGTTAACAATAATATATTTACCCTCTTATTCTGGTCTCTGCATATTATAGATGCCTTCAAGCGAGCGGTGTATTGGCTGGCGATGCTCGGGATGATCTAGGTGAACCGAGGTTTTTTCATTTAGCCCCTAATGCTCTTATGAATCCACATATAAATCTAACTAAAGCTGAGAAATGGTTTAATATTTACGCTATTTATCATTATAAAACGGTTTGTGTTTTTATATTATACCATCATATACTGTAGTTTATAACTTATTTTGTTAAATAAGTAATTTTTATTAATTTGACCAGGGTTTAGATTGTTGCAGTGCAACCACCATATCGTTTCATTACATCAAACCAGACTATATGTATGTTTTAGAGTTTTTATTATATAAATTGAAAGTAATGACAAGTTAGTATTTTTATATAATTGTTGTATATATTTGTAATTTATTTTCTGAAATTAGTGATATTGTGCAAATTATTTATTTAATTATTAATTTCTAAATAAATATTTAAATTTTTTATTCTTATAATAAAATTATTAGATTATTTAATTAACATCTGTTTATTATAAATACTTTAACTTTAGATAAATTTATTTAATTGATTATTTATTTTATAATTAATAGAAATATTTCCATATTATTATATTAATTGAAAGTATCTATAATAAATTATATTATATTTGGCCCGTTTCCATGATTATTTAACGCTAGGTTTACCACGTTCATTTGTACCAAAACGGTTTTAATGATAGATTTTTTATTAATAATTAAATAGATAAAAATATAAAATAGACCAACAGTAAAAATACTAAATTAACGTATTGTATATTATATTATTCATATATCACTCAATAAAAATCACATGAAATTATATATTGTATTATAAACAGTACGGGTATAATATACCTGTACTATTGTGTGTTAAAATGACATTTATAAATATCAATATTTAATTGATCAACGAACGTTAAATTAATACCGCATTTTAATAATAAGTTAATGATTACAAATATACATTTTATATGGTTGTACATGTTAAATTGTTAAAAATTGTATTATCAAAATTGTAAAATAACATTTGTCACGGACTGCACTTAAATTAGGAATAAAGTAATACATCTAACTTGTTGTATTATTAATGCGGTAAAAATAAGCACCCTATCTCAATAAGATATCTCAATAACACATACAATCTTGATAAAATTAACAATTAATTCTTAGAAATTGTTGTTAAATTACCTAATGCACTACGGTAAAAATAAGATTATTTAACTGTAGTGCATAATTGACAGAGTGTTATGTATTAATTGCAATACTTTATAATGCATTTAGTAAAATAAAGCAAAGGTTTTAAACAGATCTGAACACTACTTAAAATTTTGAATTAAATACTTGTTTCAAATTTTCTATACTTTAATAACTTTAAAATTATTATTAAAAATAATCTCGACATATATTAAATTAAATTAAACTTATCTATAGGATCCGGATGCTTTTTACAGAATAACATTTAATAATCACAGAAAGACAAGTAAAATCATTTACAGTTGGACCCTATGCACCCATTTCATTACATATAAATACCTGACTACACAGATAATCAAGGTAATTAATGATAAGAAATCATTGAATTCGTAGAAATTTTATGAATACAACTATAATAATTTATGTTCTTAATGTATACTTTATGTTATTTAGATAAGTTATACAATTTGTATGATAATATAAAAAATAATTTTTAGGTACTTTGTGCACATTCTTCACTGGTGGTAAGTGATAAATGTTACATTTTAAATGAATTGTTCGCAACATTATTATTGATAAAGGACAAATATTAATGAGCCTTGACAATAATACTTAAAATATACAAATATTACATTTAGAGCCAATAGATAAACTCATAATGGACCAATGAATGTGCTCACGCATATCGTAACCAATTGTGGATTGTTACTACAGTAGCTTATAAATTTTAAATTATATAGATAAACTTTTTTCTAAATAATAAATCCAGGTTACAAAAATCTAATGATGTGCTTAAAATAAGTGTTATCTACATCTGTGACTAGTGTATGACAATGATAATTTTAAACTCTCTTTCTCTCTCTCTCTCTCTCTCTCTCTCTCTCTCGTAATTATTATCTCAAAAATGTCTACATCATGGGAATATAAATTAAGCTTATTACAATAACTAATTAGTTAATTTTATAACCTCGAGACAATCAATAAGTAATATTGCTAAATAAAAAATACTAAACATTGTAAATAATGTCGCCACAAAAGTTTGTCCGATGTTACAAAACATTTATAACCTTAGGCATAATGGTTACGTTTATAAGTCTAATGTATCTATATCATGCAAATAACCCCATATTAAACAACCGTGGTGTACGTAGCGTTAATGATGATGAAATCGGTGACAATAATTTAAACTATGTCTATAATGAAACGGACACTGATTGGCTGTCCAATGCAATCAGACCAAATAATCAAGGTGAAATAGTTGAGGGCCTAGCGCAAAAACCACCTAGAATTGTGTGCATGGTGTTCACTTGTCCAGATCACCATGATACTAAAGCCCGGGCGGTGCTGGAAACGTGGGGCCGTAAGTGCGATGCCTTACACTTTGTGAGCTCAGAGTTGTCGCCCGGTTTGCCAATAATTAAGGTTAATTGCAGTAAAGATGACCAT